CTTTTATTAGACCAAGAAGGCCATTGTCTCGTTCTTCTTCGCTCGGGGAGGATCGACTAAGACTATATACTGCTTTGTTGACTTCACCAAAACCTAATCTAGATGATTTTGATTTCTAAAATTTTTAAAAATAATAATATAGCAAGTCATATGTACTTATGTATAATATAAATCTATAATTAGGTTGTGATTAACACTTAATGAGACATTACACATGATGATCTCATGATATACATGAATTTGGTTATTTTTTGTGCATGTTTAGTATATTTTGATTATTATTTTTCGAATATGGTTGATGAATTTTGATTTACTTGAAATTTGGTGAGTCGGTTATTTAATAACCTGAAGAATTAACTCATCATTTCTCCATGACTAACGTAATTTATTTTGGAGTTTCAAGATCATTATGAAATACGAAATCGTGAATTTCGTTTTTTTTTAATTAGTATGCACTGATTTTCCTGAATTTTTTTGACAGATCATGATCCACGTCATATTTTAGCATTTAAGGGTCACTCCACAAGAAATTAAACGATTTTACCATTTTTCATGTATATTAAGTCAATGAATTTTTTTGTAATATGATTTTCGGGAACATCTTTTCTATAACTTTAACTCCGTAATGATCGGGTGGAACAATACATATAGTCTCACCATAATCCACATTATTCTTTTATTATATAGGGGCCACTCAAAAGGAATTAGGCGATTTTCTCAATTTTCGTGTGTGTTAGGCAATAGTTTTTTTTTTTTTGGTGATATGGTTTTTGGTAACTCTTTTAAAAAATCTTTATCGGACCCTCCATAATGATTTGGGGGAACAATATGTATAGGCTTACCATGATCCACTCCATTTTTTAGCATTTAGGGGTCACTCAACAAGAATTAGGAGATTTTCTCAAATTTTCGTGTGTGTTAATCAATAAATTTTTTTAGTCATATGAATTTTGGGAATTTTTTTTTCATAACATTTAAGTACCCTCTATAATGAAATGGGGAATAATACTATAAACTTACCATGATCCATACCATTTTTTTTGACACTTAAGGGACCACTCAATAGAAATAGGAAAATGCATAAGTACCCCTCCAGCCTATGCCCGAAATCCCAGAGACACACCTAACCTTTACTAAGGTCCTATTACCTCCCAAACTTATTTTATATGTAATATTCTACCCCTTTTTGGCCTACGTGGCACTATCTTGTGGGCCCAACGCAGGTTGACAAAATTTTCAAGAATAGTGCCACGTAGGTCGAAAAGGGGTAAAATATTATAGATAAATTAAGTTCGGGGGGGTAATAGGACCTTAGTAAAGGTTAGGTGTGTCTCTGGGATTTCGGGTATAGGCTGGGGGGGTACTTATGCATTTTCCCCCAATAGAAATTTGATGATTTTCTTAGTTTTTCGTGTGTTAGTCAATAAATTTTTTGGAGATATGATTTTCGATAACTTTTTTTTACCAAAACCTTGATAGAACCCTCTGTAATAACTTGCAAAAATGATACATTTATCCTCACCATGATCTATGTCATTTTCTTTTACCATTTAGGGACTACTCAACACAAATTAGACGATTTTTTAAGTTTTTCGTGTATGTTAGCCCATGAATATTTTGGTGATATGTCTTCTGGACAATTTATTTGCGAAACCTTTACGGAACCCTACGTAGGGAGTTGGGAGAGCAGTTGGTACAGTCTCACCATTTTCAGAGTCAATTTTGGACATTTTAGGGGTAATTTATAGGAATTAGACGATTTTCTCAATTTTTCGTGTGTGATACCCTATGAATATTTTGATGATATGACTTCCAGACAATTTCTTTGTGAAAAATTTACGAAACCTTCCATAGGGATTTGAGAGAGCACTACGTACAGTCTCACCATTTTCAGAGTCTATTTTGGAGATTTAAGTGTCAATTTACATAAATTAGGTGATTTTCTAAGTTTTTTTGTGTGTAACACTCGTGAATATTTTGGTGATATGACTTTAAGACAATTTCTTTGCTAAAACTTTAAAGAAATCTCCGTAAGGAGTTGAGAGAGCAATAGGTACAATCTCACAATTTTTAATGTCCATTTTAGATATTTAGGCGCCAACTAACAGGAATTAGGCAATTTTCTCAGTTTTTCATGTATGTTAGCCCATTAATATTTTGGTGATATTCCGAGAGATTTTTTTGTGAAACCTTTACAGAACCCTATGTAGAGAGTTAGGTGGAGCAGTACGTATATAGTCTCACCATTTTCAGAGTTCATTTTGGGCATTTAGAGACCAATTTTCAAGAATTAGACGATTTTCTCAATTTTGTGTGTGTGTTAGCCTATGAATATTTTGGTGATATGACTTCCGGATGATTTCTTTGCATAACCTTTATGGAACCCTCAGTAGGGAGTTGAGGGAGTAGTATGTACAATCTCACCATTTTTTAGTCCATTTTGGACATTTAGGGGTGAATTTACAGAAATTAAGTGATTTTCTCAATTTTCCATGTGTGTTAGCCCATGAATATTTTGGTCATATGGGTTTCAAACGATTTCATTTCGAAACCATTATAGAACCCTCTGTAGGGAGTTGGAGGAGTAGTACGTACAGTCTCACCATTTTCAGAGTCCATTGTTGGTATTTAGGAGCCAATTTATAGGAATTGTGTGATTTTTTTAGTTTTTGTATATGTTAGCCTATGAATATTTTGGTGATATGTCTTCAAGATGATTTCTTGTGAATCTTTACGGAACCCTCCGTAGGGAGTTGGAAGAGCAATACGTACAATCTCACTATTTTTAAAGGTCATTTTGTGCATTTAGTTCCAATTTAAAGAAATTAAGCGATTTTTTCAATTTTTCGTGTGTTAACCCATGAATATTTTGATGATATGAGTTCTAGACGATTTCTTTGTGAAACACTTACGGAACCCTTTATAGGGAGTTGAGGAAGCAGTACATACAATGTCACTATTTTAGAGTCCATTTTGGGAATTTAGGGCAAATTTATAGGAATTAGGCGATTTTCTCAAGTTTTCATGTGTGTTAGCCCGTGAATATTTTAATGAGATGTCTTCCGGACGATTTCTTTGTGAAACATTTAGGGAGTCATCCTCAAGGAGTTGAGGGGGGCATTTAGGGGCCAATTTATCATAATTAGGCGATTTTCTTAGTTTTTCGTGTGTGTTAGCCAATGAAGATTTTGGTGATATGGCTTCCAAATGATTTATTTACGAAACTTATATAGAACCATCCATATGGAGTTGGGGGAGCAGTACGTACAGTCAAAGTCCATTTTAGACATTTAGGGGCCAATTTACAGAAATTAGGTGATTTTCTAAGTTTTTCGTGTGTGTTAACCCATTAATATTTTGGTATTTTGATTTTCAAACGATTTCTTTGTGAAAACATTATGGAACCCTCCGTAGGGAGTTGGGGGAGCAGTACGTACAGTCTCACCATTTTTAGAGTCCAATTTTGGCATTTAGGGGCCAATTTACAGAAATTAGGCAATTTTCTCAATTTTTCATGTATGTTAACTCATAAATATTTTGGTGATATGACGTTTAGATGATTTCTTTGTAAAACCTTTATGTAACCCTCCGCAAGGAGTTGGGGGAGAGGTATGTATAGTCTCAACATTTTTAGAGTCCATTTTGGGCATTTAGGGGCCAATTTGCAGGAGTTATGTGATTTTCTCAGTTTTTTGTGTGTGTTAGCCATGAATATTTTAATGAAATGACTTCTAGACGTTTTCTTTGTGAAACCTTTACGACCAATTCGTACAATCTCACCATTTTTAGAGTCCATTTTTTTGGGAATTTAGAGCCAACTTATAGGAATTAGGCGATTTTCTCAATTTTTCGTGTATGTTAGCCCATGCATATCTTGGTGATATGAGTCTAGATAATTTCTTTGCAAAATCTTTACGGAACCCTCCATAGAAATTTTGGGGAGTAGTATGTACAGTCTCACCATTTTAGAGTCTCAATTTTTTTTATGTGTGTTAGCCCATGAATATTTTGGTGATGTGGCTGCCGGACGATTTCTTTGTGAAACCAGTATGTAACCCTCCGTAGGGTGTTGGGGGAATATGTACATTTTCACCATTTTTAGAGTCCATTTTGAGCATTTATGGGCTAATTTACACAACTTATGTGATTTTTCTCAGATTTCATGTGTTAACCATGATTTTTTTTTGTGATATGGCTTCTAGATGATCTCTTTGAGGAACCTTCACGAAACTCTCCGTGGAGATTTAGGGGAGCAGTACGTACAACCTCACCATTTTTGTGGTCCATTTTGGACATTTAGGGGCCAATTTACAGGAATTAGGCGATTAGAAGTGGCCCCTAATGTTAAAAAAAAGTGGTGTAGATCATAGTGAGACTACGAATTGTTCCCCGAGCCCTTACGAATGGTTTCGTAAAGGTTTTGGAAAAAGTGTCTGGAAGCCATATTACTAGAAAGTTCATAGACTAACTAACACACACGAAAAATAAATAAAATTGCCTAATTTCTATTGAGTGGCCCTAAATAATAAAAATAATGACGTAAATCACCATAGAAATGGTTCCTCAGATACTTACAGATGATTCTATGGAGGTTTTTGAAAAAAAATATGTTTGAAAGCCATATCATCAAAAAATCCAGTAATGTATAAATATATCATACTTATAGAGTATTTTGTAGAATCAAGTAAAGCTCAAACCTCTAGTTAAGGTGTCAATTTAACCCATGAAAATATACATTGGCAGGTCATTCTGAGTATATCAAATTACCTCATCTATAAGTTTTAACCAATTTATGATGGTAGTGTCCGAATCTACTTTGCACACATCTCAATTAATTCATCGGACACTTATTCTTATTATAACAACAACCAAGTATTTCTATCCAACAAAATTTAAGCAATTGGAAAGAAATCACCTTGTGCCTTTTTGCCTCCCCACCTAGATTTGAACATGAAACCCGTGGTTCTCCTTCAACTTCATTGACCACTAGGCTATACCCACAGATCCGATCATTTGAATATATAAATGTTGGATTAATATAAAAAGTCCCTCCCAATTCCTTGGGATACATAATTCCATGCATTATAGCCTACAATGAGACATATGGCTCAACATCTAAACATTAAACTTAGAAGAAGCCTGCTAGTTGCTCTCATCAATTTCAATCAATCAACTAACCATACCTCAATCCCAAAACTCTCTCATCAATACATTCTTGATAAGTACTTATTATTATCTCACACTGTGACGAAAAATAAATAAGAAACAATGATAAGAATTCAAGGTTAGAGCTAATCTAATCTTCAAATCTAAAACAAAAAAGACAGAAAGGTATACATCCTTAGTCTCTAAAGCCAGATGCTGTGCGTTATATTTCACTAATCTTCCCTTTACTATATATTACTCCATCAAAATTGTGGAATCGTTTTATGTAGGTTGGGGTGGGGAGGGGAAGCGAGCAAACGAGACACCTTTTTTATGGTGCCATCAACCCTCCAATTGTGTGAAAGAGAGACTCTGCCCAATCGTCTTTGAAAAGCAACTTTTGCAGTGTCTGTAGCACGTCGTATTCAGGGTCCAGTTTCCGCTGCCATCCCTGTAGGAAGACAGAAAAGTATCATGCTATATGTTCAAACAAATTATTACCCTAAGCTTTTCCTTCTATTGGCATTTGGAAGAAAAATAGGGGGAAGATGAATCATGTGGAATAGGGCATGGGAAGAAAAATCTAGGAGGAGAGAGGAAAGAGGAAAGGCAGATAAGTTAAATTAAAGAAGAAGAGATCACAGATAACATCCATTTTCGTTTTTCTTTTAATAATCGTGGTATCCGGCCTCAACTAATTCCACGGAAACCTGCCACCTTCCACTAGTAACAGGTAACTTAATCCACCAAGGCAAGGACAAAAGGGAAGAAATCACCTAGTGTTTTTGTGTTGGGATTTGAACCTGAGACCTTAAGGTTCTCAACCCACTTCATTGACCACTAGGTCATACCCTTGGGTGCTTCTCAAGCATCTACTTCCATGGTTGGGTTATCGATAATAAAAATGTAGTCTGGAATAATTACTTTTGGCTAGCTTTACTAATAACTGAATTTCAACAATGACATTCGGCAGATTTTTACCAGAATCAAGATAATACTTGAGAAAGATAGATGCAGACATTCCCAGCACACATAGTAGATCATATGAACTATTAAAACAGGATAAGTTAACACAAGAATATAGCAGACAAGTCTATGCAGTGCTGAGTTATCAGACGGTAAAAGCATCAAATAAGGCCAAAAGGTACCTCCAACACCAAAGTAGTCACAATCACAGTGCAAATGTTGCCATCAATATTCACCCTATGACGTCTAACTTGCTCAAGCAATTGTTGCATGCAATCTGCCGGATGAATGCCACCCCCTTCAGCTGTCTTCCAGAAGTCAAAAGTTCCCTCCACGTCCTATTACCAAAGTCTATATTATGTTATTCAACAAAGACATGAATCTAAAAAAATTTGGGGGTTTTGACATAGTTCACTAAAGAGACTTAAAAATGAGTATTTGTATCTCATCAGACAGAAAATAAGTGGGACAAAAGCTTTTACAATTGATTCTCATCTTCACAGTTCACACAAGCAAACATCATGGAGCTGCTTCACTTGGGACGTCGTTCAGCTATATACTGTGCATCTCCTTACTTTTTAACAATTCTATTATTTTATGGCATATGTACATGCTGCATCAAAAAATTTGCCGCAGATAGATGGTGGTGTGGTAGCACCACCCTGTAATAAGGAAGACAAACTTGTAGAAAAATGAATCACTTTGTAAGTATATTTGACATATTCATATATGGCCTAAGACAAGATGAAAGAGGATGCTTTTTATGCTTCCTTTTATTATTCCTGAAAGAGGTGTAACGTACTATATGCACTGCGCTTGAACTCAAGTTAAACGAAAATGCAAGATGCGAAGTAAGATGCCGATTTAGCTTTTCCTGCTTGGACAATTAATCGACTACTGAGAATCAAGTGATCAACAGTCAGCCCACATTGTACAATTATGGACTTCATCATTCTTTTACAACAAAAAATTAGAAAGCACCTTGATGAATTCCTCTGGGTTTGGACAGCTCTGTTGTTTAGATAGTCCAAGAGTACTTTCTGCAGCAGTGCGGCCATCTCGAAGTGCCACAGCCTTAAAGAACTCCAGCAGGAGGAGTCTGTCCTTATTGGATAGCTCAGCAGTCATACCCACATCTAGGAAGACCACATGAGGTCTCGATTTGAAAAGTCCTTTACCTGAAGCTCTGTCTTGCGGTGATCTAACAAGAATGTTCCCAGGATGCATGTCTGCATGTATGAAATTATCCACCTGGAATTAAATGGTATAGTATCAAAAAGAGAGAAATAATTTTAATGACTATGTTGCAAAATTGAGGAACTGTAAGATCCCAATGGAAGAGCATTTCCCACTTCCCTAAATAATAGGAGAAAAGAGTAAACAATCTCAAGTTGAAGACTGTAACTAAGAAAAGATTAGTTTGACAGCTTATGGACTTCTTATACAAAACCAAAAAAAATAAAATATGAGGCAGCTAATGCATAATTGTTCAACAAAGGAAGATCTTCGCTTTACTGAAAAGTTGCCCTCAGCAATTAATGAGGTCAACATGTTCGATAAATTTGGTGACTAACCCAGAGAGTTTTGCTCATTATTACCATCGCAAAAACTCAAGCCGCAATTGCAAAGTTGATTTAGGTATTTATTTTATATCAGAAGTTGATTTACAACAACATAATACCCGGAGTAGTCCCACAAGTTGATTTATGCTGTACACATTTATTAAAGCAATAAGAAATTAAGAGCTCACAATGAATCTAATCTCCATTTCTGAGGAACAGTATGTTATAATGCTCAGAGATTCTACATGATGCCCTGATAAAATGACCCTTTTTTTGTTGTTGGGTATGTTAAACCCCAACCCCAACTAACGCTCCTGTGCAAGAGTCAATGGTGGTCCTTTCTACTTGACCATCACACCTCAATATCGAAGATGAAGTATTCTTTTCACTAAGAGATCCTCCATTTTCTTAGCATCCCATTTTTACTTATGTATTTCGGTAGTTTTACTTTCAGTCACGTTTCTATTGGCATATTCCTTCTTGAATTACTTTTTTTTAATCCAGTAAAGTATTTCATTATTAATAAAAATAATAACCAACTTCGACTTTACCGTATGGCTAAATTACACAGACATACCAACATCATCTTCAGTAGTGCATGAGTCCCAATGTGAGCAAGGGCACTTCGGACGCGCTCACGTCCTTCAAACTCTTTCATAGGTTCTTCAAGCTCTTCAATGTAGCGCAAGATATTTTCACCGTCTTCATAGGTTTCCACTAAAACTGCAGGATGCACCAAAGGATATAGAGGTCTGGGAAATGATACATCCTTCCATCTGCGGAAGTTGTATATAAAACGACTCAAGTTAGCTGCTTCCCTAGAAAGATCAACTTGTGACATCATAAAGACCGCAAACTGCTGTATGCTTTCATCCAGTCTCAACCACTTCAAAGTTGGGAAGACCTTTGAAACTTTTGCAAACATGTTAATTAGTACGAAATCCCTCCTGATAGATTCACCAACGCCTGGGTGCCTAACTTTGACAGCGACACGAATGGGTTTAACCCGTTGTCTAGGATATCGGAATTTCAAGGTTGCCCGATGAATTTGAGCAATACTACCCGATGCGACAGGCTCCTCCTCAAAATTTTCAAATATTTCAGGCAGCTTCCGTCCAAACGCCTTTTCAATGCTTCTTTTTGTGTATGCATAGCTATGCGCTGGTGCCTTTGAGTGGAGTTCTTCAAGTTCATTACACATATCATCTGGAAACAGATCTGGCCTTGCTGCTGCCCATTGACCCCACTTAATGAATGCTGGACCTGCCTTCTCTAGAGTTCTTCTCACAGCACGAAGCCACTTCTTCCTAAACTCAATACCAAAGGAGTCCGCAAAAGGAGCCATTAGCATACAAGGGGTGAACAACAAAGCTAAGTATACTGCCCTCGAGAGCAATATCAAGCCCTCTAAAATCAAGAAGATAAATGAAGTCAAGTAGATATGTCCATCCTTTGCATGCATGTAGAGCGACTCCGGGGATGTGAAACCTTCTGCTTCTGCAAGCACACTTTGATTCCATGCTAGCTGTCCAATAAGGAAGGCCAAAATGCCAGGAGATACCAGATGTGAGCGAGACAAAGCAAGGCTCATCACACATGTAACCCTACTTATTGGTGGCAGAATTGTTCCACAGCTTGAATGAATCTGAAGTAGCCGTTTCCAGGCAACTCGAGCATGGTGTGAGACTGTCTCATTCGTAAGGAACAAACAGCTAGCTTTCGAATTGTACGTCTTCCATAAGGTTCCTTTTGCCTCATAGAAAATGCTGGAGGTAAATCCTCTATGACAAACTCTACATTGTGAATGTAATCTGGAAAAGATAAAAGAAAGTCCGGTAGGGCACGTTGTCCAAACTACTGAGTTCCTGGCCTTGGTGCTGGCAAGAAGGGAATGAGCAACCCTTTCAACACTTCCCTTCACCAAAATTCTGCACCTGACAAAATAAAACATGTAGTAGAGCAGTCAAATTTAGCTGAGCAAAGCTGAAATTGCTGGTGATAAATTTGGAACAATGGCAAATATTTTTCTTATAACATGTTCCTTGTTGAAATATTTTTCTATTAGAAATGGTAAGAAAGAAGGAGGATAGGGAGCTCACCCAATTTCAACCTTGTTGTAATCATTTTCAGTGTACAGTTACCTTATAGTGTTGAAACTTTTCTCTCCAAGAAAATATTTTCTACCAAAAGGGGGAGAATAACTACGTCACTTACTCACTTATGGGCCGACAGGCCGTAGTTGTTTTATTTTTAGAAGTAACAGATTCTTACTCCACATCACTTGCTTCATCCAAGACTTGAACATTGTTGTGAACGAATATCATCAACACTATCACTAGCTCTTCCTCATAAGATTACCATACTTCATCTACTTTATTTTGTCTAAATTATGAAAACTGATAAAAAAAAAAGATTTTTTAAGGCAAACATTTTTCTCATATCAATCACAATCTAAACCCTTTTTTTTCTATAACCCTGGTGATATGATCCAGGTTTTATTAATTATGGTTTATTAGCAAGTGGATTAAGTGAGAATTAGTGAGTTGGCAAGTTAGTTACATATGGTGATTGAAAGAAGTAGTTAAAGTTGTTAGAAGGCACGTGCAAACCTCGTGACTGTTCCGTAAGTTAGTCCCCAACGTACTTCATTATCTCTAATTCATTTTGATTCATATTATGTCGTGTTTGGGCTAACTCACACGCACCTCAACTAATTGCACAGGATACATGCTATTGAGATAACTCTGTCCATCAAAGACTCAATAAAATGAGATGAAACCACATTGTATTTTGCTTCCCCAGGATATAAAACCTGAAACCTCACGTTTCCCAACCCACTTCATTCACCACTACATCACACCCTTAGGTACTCAATGACAATATGAACCTTATACTCCCATCATCATAATGAAAAACCATAAAACAAACAATTAATCATCCTTGTTAAGTCCAATTCTAGGCCTAATTAGAAATACCCAATCATAAGCAATATAAAGAGATCTAAAACTTCGAAAAAATATTTTTTTTTTTAAAAAAACTTAGATAAATGAAGCAATATCAGATACGGACCTTGATACGGCCATTGATAATTGATGCTGATAGGTCTTCTACGATGCAAAGCTGATTGATACAAAGCATTGACCCGCATTTTTCACCTTCGATGCAAAATGTATCATCGATGACTTTTCGACACCGTAGATGGATGGACACTACAATAGTGAAGAAAACGACACCGTATTGACCGGAAAAATCAGCCGCGCGCGGTGGTTTTCGGTTGTCGTCGTCGAGGGGGAAAGTGACTGAAAAATCTACCGGGTTGTAAGTGTGTTTGGCAATTGACCCGATTCCGAATCCCAAATTTTCTTTCAGAACATTTTACTCAAGTAGCCATTTTTAACATATTTAATTTATAGGAAAAACTACCTAACTACACATACATCACTACCATATATACTATATTTACCTCTAGTTTAAAACAATTACATATAATATCATTTTTAATATTTATATCACATATTTTAAAAGATTTAATTAGATATACAAATCCCTTAAATATGGTATTGGATAATTATCTTAAATTTAATCTCCTTAATTAATGGTCCACATTAACAACTCAAAATTTTTATCACATAAATCACACCTGCCGTTCCCCACCCCATGTTCACTAACCCTCATTCTTCCTCCATCTTCTCCCTTTTTCTTCCTTCGTCCTCTCAATACATATTTGCATGTTCAAATCAGCATTATACATATATATATATATATGTTTGTTTCTATTGTTTTATTATTCTCATGTATCTTGGTTTTGTATCTGAGTTAAAGTTCATAATGTTCTGACATTCAATTTTAAAAAGTTCTATAAATTAGGTTTTATATTTTTTGATTTTGTTGTTTCTCAAATACTTTAATGGCTGGTCATTCTCAAAATCAGATGATTCTTGTTAAAGGTACTACACATTAACAATATTATACTAAATCAAACAACTTCTATTTGTTATTTTCACTCATGAGTTTTTCATTGTAGGGACTAACTCTTCATCCGTTAACATTCAAGCCGAGAATAGATCTAAGTATAGGAACGACTCAATCAAGAGGGAAGAGTTATGCCAAGCTTTACTTAACATAATAAATACACTATTAGATATGCAACAATGTTGGATACACATCAGATGTACATGTATCTAGTTAAGAGTTGATGTATCTAAGTTAAAATTATATGTATTTGTGAGAAACAATTCAGATGCTAAAAAAAAGGAAGAATTTTGAAATTTTTTTACTTTTTTTTTGGATTAGTGATAAGGCAGATACTCTAACATCGTGAGTTGTTCCTAAATTCGATTGTTTCAATTACATTCCATATTTAGATACACATAATATGTATATGCTTACAACTTACTATGTATTTGAGATACACATTTTTGATATAATGTATGAAATTGATACTTGATACATCGAATTAATACTAGATACATATGAAAGGAGTAATTTCCCTAGATAGTCACCTTGGGAAATTACCTAGGAATATCATTTATGTTTATTATAGGACCACAATATCACCCAACTTGATCTTTTTTCCTCAAAATATAAAAAATATTATCTCTCTCCTAATAGGATGCCATGTCACATTATTCCTTTTTTATTATTAACATTTTTTTAAAAAATATTAGACAACCCAGTTCCTGTCTGTGTTTGTAGTAGTCCTAGCCTTGCACTTGCAGTTCCTGTCTGTGTTACCTACAGCCTTTTGTTGTATACTGCGTTTCACTTATCGCATTGTTCTTTGGATGTTACTGTCTCCTTTGTTGATTATATACTTTCTTTCTTATTGGATTTTATGTTTTATACATTGTTTTCCTCGCCTTTTACTTGGATTTGATGTACTTGAGCTGAGGGTCTCTCGGAAACAGCCTCTCTACCCCTACGAGGTAGTGGCAAGGTCTGCGTACACTCTACCCTCCCCAGACCCCACCTAGTGGGATTTCACTGGGTATGTTGTTGTTGTTGTTGTTGTAGACAACCCAGTAAAAAAAAAATTACATAGCCAAAATTTTCTACCCTAGTTCTAGGGGATTTGGCGGCAAATCCAAATATGAGCTCCTCCAATTCTTCAAGAAAATATGTGGCTTCCTCTGTTTCTTCAAAAAATAAACTAATGAATTTGCATAAGGAACTGTCTCCTGAGCCGCTGTATACCTTTGATGTCGACCAAAGAAATGGCCACGAGGTAAAATTCAAGTTTTCTTCTGATTCTTTTATCTTTGAAGTGTAAATTGTGAAATAATTTGAATACCTAACATGATATTGGAGTAATCTTCTTAAAATTTAGGGGTTATTTGCTTGCTTGTTTTTGAATCGGATATTTCTATTGTTTGAATCTGCCTAAGCTTTGAACAGATGTTTATAGTTTGTGTAAAAATCATTTTTTTATCATGAACAAGAAACATTTGATTTTTTACAAGCAACAAATGTTTATAGTTTTTGTAAAAATCAATGTTCCTAATATCTAGTTTATCTCTAAATATCCAACTCCAGAAGTGGATTAGTACTATGTTTTGGTTTTACAAAATGTTTGTAGGCTCCTAATACTAAGTACTTTATTACGTTGTGGAATGCCTACATTAGGAATTGAATTGTTTGTGCCCCTGCTATGTAGTTCTTGTCTTTCTAGCTATAAGCTCAATGCAAATCAAGTTTATTTGTTTTATTGAAATTATTGTATTTTGATAAAGAAGAACGAGTCTAATCTGTGGACTGTGGCTTCAAAAGATTTGAAGGTATAGAGCAAAGGAATTTTACACAATAGTTATATATGAAGATTAGTGCAACAGGACATGGCCTTAAGTACATACATATGCATATATCAGCAATCCCTCAATATAGTGACATGTTGCTTGGACTTTTCAACAATATCAATGAGTGTGTGTCGGATTCTCCAAAATAGTGTATTTATTGAGAATCCGACACGAGTGCGGCACCGAAAGTGAAAATTCCACGCAACTTAGCTGGTGTTCACTCAAGAAATTATTCAAAACAAATTTCAACTGTCAGTGACTAACATATATAGATAAAATTCTTTTAGCACTAGAAAATCAAAACAGAATGCTTGAATACTATTGAAGCTTTTCTAGTGCAATATTAGTGTTGTTTTGATAACTTTCTGCTGCTAATTTTGGTGCGATTCTAGTGCCCTTTAAAGTGAATAAATTTATGCCTATTAAAGAAAACACTTAGTGTTACTTCTAAATGAACACTGTAGTATTTTTCTTTCATTCATTTGGACACAAGGAAACGTTTTGCTTCTCAACATCATTTGCTTATTGTAGGAGTATCCAGATGCAACAGCATTGCAGTTTGAATCTTTTTTGAGTCGTATTAATAGTAAAAATATAAATGTGAATATTGGAGAAGAGATTGATAATGTTAAGGATACTATCGATGAGGAAGATTTTCATGATTCAAATTATAATATTTCTGGTGAAGATGATGACTTTCAAGAGGTTATAGTTGTAAACAAAAATGTGAAAGGGAGGGGACGACCAAAAATTGCACCAGGCTCTATCAATGTACCATCTAGTTCTGCGATTGTAGTACCACCACATGTTGTTGATACCGAATCTGATTATGTAGATTCAGATGAAATGTTGGAGGAGGTTGAGTCTGAAAAAAAAAAAGATAAGCTTCAGGAAAAAGTTACCTATATGGAGTATAATGAAGAGAAACACAAAGACGAGCCAATATTAGAGCTGGGATGACGTTTGGAAATTTTACAAAATTTAAACAAGCTTGCATGAAGTGGGGTATTAAAAATAGAAGAGAGCTAAAGTTTTATCCCAATGATACAGAGAGGGTGGTGTGTATTTGCAAGCGAAAAGACTGTCCATTTAGAATTTATTCTAGCAAGTTAAGTCAAGATGATCCTACTGTGCAGATCAGGGTGGCATGGTGTTTGATAATCCCCACATGACACCAAAATATATAGCTAGAAGGTATTTTGAAATTTTTAAAGTTGATCCAAATTGGAGTATAAATGAAATCATAGCTACCGTAAGAAAGGACCTCAATTATACAATATCATATAAGAAGGCATGGAGAGCCAAAGATCAAGCTCTAAAATGGGTGGTTGGAGATGAGAGCCTTCAATATGGTAAGCTTTTATCATATAGAGCAGAATTATTGAATTCTAATCCTGGATCAACTGTTGTGATTTGGAGAAATGAAGAAAAGTTTCAGGGATTTTATGTGTGTTTTGGTGCACTGAAAGAAGCATTTAAATCAGGGTGTAGGCCCTTGATTAGCCTAGATGGATGCTGGCTAAAAGGAAACTTTGGAGGAAATTTATTGTCGGCAGTTGCTATAGACCCTAATGATTGTATTTTTCCTGTTGCCTATGTTGTCATAGCTCAAAATGAAAGTAAAGAAACTTAAAGTTGGTTCTTGGAGATTCTCAGTGAGGATCTAGAAATAAGAAACAGTCATCACATAGCGTTTATGTCGAATAGACAAAAGGTATATCGTTTTACAATTAATATATTTTTATTTAATTTACTTTGACATTGTCAATTAACTATTTTAAATAATTATGCGCAGGGCTTAATTGGAGTAGTTAAGGACTTGTTTCCTTTTTACTGAACACAGAAGTTGTGTTAGGCATATATACCAAAATTTCAGAGGAAAACACAAAGGCAAAGCTTTGAAAGATTTGGTGTGGAGTGCAACAATTGCCAGTAATGAAATAACATTCAAGAAATGTATGGAAAAAATTGAGCAAGAAGATAAAGAGGCAAGAAATTGGTTCAACCATCCAGAAAGACCATTTCAAAGTTGGACTAGAGTCTTATTTAAAACAAATATTAGATGTGATATGTTGCTCAGCAATTTGTGTGAAAGCTTCAACAAGTAAGTTCAAAAAAAAATTATTTTTCTGTCAATAGTTATTTATATAATACTAATGCATATATTTTTTAGGTATATACTTGATGCCAGGGATAAACCAATCATTACAATGCTAGAAATGATAAAGAATAAGCTAATGAAGAGATTGCCTAGCAAGAGAATCTGGATTGAAAAATATCAAGATAAGATTTGCCCCAAAATTGTCAAAAAACTTAACAAAAATAGTAATGAGGCTGTTATGTTTAAACCTGACTATTCAGGGGGGACCAAAGGTGTTGGTTAATGGACCTGGGGACCATATGTGGTGGATATGATGGCTAAGAGTTGTACTTGTCGGAGATTTGAGCTAACTGGATTGCCATGTCTTCATGCCTATATTAGTATTATTGATAACAGTGAAAAAGTGGAAGATTATGTGAATCCATTCTATCATATTGATAC